CAGTCAATGACTGTAATTGATATGAACAAAATGTGTTGTTGTTATGTGCTGTCAACTCATAGTGATCCTATGTACAAACAGCCCTGAAATCTGCTCTATCCTGTATCTACTTTATTGTCTGACACACCTTCCCTCCTTACCCCAGTCACTGAATCAATCCATCTCATTGATGGTCTTCCTCTCTTTCTCTGTTTCTCCACCCTTCCAAGCATGATGCCCATCTCCGAGAACTGGTCACTCCTTGCAACATGCCCAAAGTATGTCAGATGAAGCCTCAGAATCCTTACCTCCAAGGAGCAGACTTGCTTCACCCTCTCTAGCATGAACCTGTTTGTTCTCCTGGCAGTCCATGGTATATTCAATACTCTTCTTCAGCACCATAGCTCAAAGGCATCAATTCTCTTTCTATCATCCCAAGTCACTGTTCACCTCTCTGACGCACAGCAAGCAATTGCAAAGATTATTACCTGGGTCATGTGCACCTTAGTCTCCAGACTGATGACGTTGCTCTTCAGTACTCCGGAGAGGTCCCTGACAGCCAGCTTTCCCAATGCAATTCATCTCTTGATTTCCTGGCTGCTGGTACTAAGACAATTTCAATCTCTTCACCATCTATCACAATGCTGTCACCTGGTCCAGTGGTGAGAATCTTTGTTTTCTTGATGTTGAGTTTCAATCCATATCGAAGGCTGCAGTCCTTGACCTTCTGCAGCAAGTGCTTCAGGTCCTACTCAGTCTCAGCAAGCAGGGTTGTGTCATCTGAATAACGCAAACTGTTGATGAATCTTCCTCCAATCCTGATGCCACATTTCTCCTCATAGAGCCCAGCCTCCCAGATAATCTGTTCTGCATATAGATTGAAAAGGTAAGGGATAGGACACATCTCTGGTGTACACCTTTCCCAATTTTAAACACTAATGAGTAAAGACCAGATAAGTTATGGGAGGATATAAAAAAATATCACCCAGGAAGAGTGCAAAGTGTCATTAAAAAGACAGAGGAGGAAGAAAAGACCAAGATGGGTGTCAGAAGAGACTGTGAATATTGCACTAGAGCACCAAGAAGCCAAAGCAGAGGGAAGAAATCAAGACATTAAGAAGAAAAACAGAAGATTTAAAAGGATAGTGCAGAAAGACAAAGTAAAGTATTACAATAAAATGTACAAAGAGCTGGAGTCAGAAAATCAAAGGGGCCAAACTCACTCAGCATTTCTTAAGCTGAAGGAACTAAAGAACAAATTCAAGACTCAGGTTGCAATACTTAAGGATGTTTGGGCAGAATATTAAATAATCCACTAAGTATTAAAAGAAGATGGAGGGGAATAAGATGGAAAGCATATACAGAATCATTATACCAAAAGAAATTGGCGGACACAGAACTTCATGAAACAACATATATGCAAGAGTCTATGGGGATGAAAGAATAAGTTCAAGCTGCTCTGAAAGAATTGGCAAAAACAGGCCCCAGGAATTGATGGCATACCAACTGATATATTTCAACAAATAGATGCTGCCCTAGATGTGCTTAACAAGTTGTGCCAAGAAATCTGGAAGACAACCGCCTGGTCAACTGATTGGAAGAGATCTATATTTGTTTTCATTCCAAAGAAAGGTGATCTAACAGAATGTGGAAATTTTCTAACAATATCATTAATATCACATGCAAGCAAGATTCTGCTGAAAATTATCCAAAAACAACTGGAACAGCACATCAGCAGAGAACTGCCAGATGTGCAGGCTGGGTTTAGAAGATGCCATGGTACTAGGGATATTATAGCTAATGTTAAATGGATCTTGGCTGAAAGCAGAGAGTACCAAAGGAGGATCTATCTGTATTTCATTGCCTATGCAAAGGCATCTGATTGTGTGGACCACAACAAACTGTGGCTGACTCTGAGAAGAATGGGAATCCCAGAATACTTGATAGTGCTTATGCAAAACCTATACTTGAACTAGGAAGCTGTTGTCAGAACTGAGCAAGGGAATACTGCATGATTTAAAACTGGAACAAAGTATACACTTACAAAAAAAGATGAACTGGCAAAAGTTGTGTGGTAGATCTAATTACAACAATGATAGTAAGTGTAGCTTCCAAGGTTGCTTATATAGAACCAAAAACCTATGGATTCCCTTCCTTGGTTTGGAATTTAGGACTGTGGTTTCATGGGACATCCCAGTTAATTGTCCTAATAACATGTTTTAAGCTTTTATTCTACCTCTGTTGAAAGGCTCTGGTGGCATAGTCACCAGAGTTGTGCTGCTAACTCAAAAAGTCATTACCTCTCAGTGGGAGGAACATGAGCAATCTCTTTCTCTAGGATTTATACAATAGGAGGTCAGCTATGAGTTATCAGCTATTCTACCTCTCAGTTCATTGTGTGGTACCAAAGCTCTTAAAAGCTTTCAAGTGGCCAAGCAAGACCCAATAATTGATTTCTGTTGCCTACAGCACAAAGAAAGGCAAATCACAGGAAAAGAAGAATATGGTTCCTGACTACCATGACTAAACATTTTTTTTATCAGAGATTCCGTAGAACAATGCTGATCCAAAGGTGATGGGATGCAGACAGACCTGAATTTCACATTTTCATGGACTCTTCAAGGTTGAGATGAATCCTAAAATTATTTCCCTGAGATAGTCTTTAAACCTTGAATTAAAAAAGTTGCCTTAATTCTTAAAACCAAACTGTACCTTAATTTGTCTAGTAAAAATGGGGGGGGGGGGAGTCTGCTTTGAACATTACGTTTTATACTAAAATCTCTATGGTATCAAACTGATAATGTTGTTATGTGTTGTCGAGTTGCTTGCGACTCATAGCAACCCTATGTACAAGCCCTAAATCCTGCTCTGTCCTGTGCCAATCGCACTGTCTACAAAACACACCCATCCCGATTACCTCAGTCACTGAATCAATCCGCCTCATAGAGGGTCTTCCCCTCCTGCGCTGTCCCTCCATCCTCCCAAGCATGATGTCCCTCTCCAAGGACTGGTCTCTCCTTGCAACATGTCCAAAATATGTCAGACAAAGCCTCAGAATCCTTGCCACCAAGAAACAGGCCGGTTTAACCCTCTTCAGGATGAATGTGTTTGTTTTCTTAGCAGTCCATAGTACATTCAATACTTCTCCAGCACCACAGCTCAAAGGCATCAATTCTCCTTTTATCCTCCCTAGTCATTGTCCAACCCTCTGATACATAATAACTGATTGCAAAGACCATGGCCTGTATCAGGAGCACTTTAAGTCTCCAGAATGACACCGGTGCTCTTCAGTACTTTGGAGAGGTCCCTAACAGCAGACTTTCCCATCGCAATACATCTTTTAATTTCCTGGCTGCTGGTGCCAAAAGTGTTGACTGTGGAGCCAAGCAAACTAAAGCTGTGAACATCTCAATCTCTTCACCATCCATCTTGACGCTGCCAGTTTGTCCAGTGGTGAGAATCTTTGTCTTCTTGATATTGAGCCTCAATCCATATTGAAGGCTACAGTCCTTGACCCTTTGCAGCAAGTGCTTCAGTTCCTCCTCAATTTCAGCAAGCAGGGTTGTGTCATCTGCATAACACAGATAGCAACTTGAAAATTTAATAGAAAATTTAGGGGGCAGTGAATTTCGAGGGGAGGAACAACTCAGAAAAGGAGGGTGAGAAGAATGCACAACTATAAGAATGTAATCATTCAATGTCACTAAACATAGACGTAAAAATCGCTGAATTGGTTAATGTCTTGATGCGTATATTCTCAACAACAAAATTAAATTTTATTTTTTTAAATTTTATTATTTTTGTGTGTGTGCGCGTGTACTGTCAAATCAGATCTGACTGGTACAGGAGGAGATTGTCCCTCCTTCTCTAGTAGAGCATCTGGTGGATTCGAACCGCGTACCTCTGGGATTGCAGTGCAACTTCTTGCCACTAGGCCACCAGGGCTCCCCAAAATTAAATTTTAAAAGTAAATGAAATGTCTTGTATTTTAACGACATCCTATAGGCAAAGTACTTGCATAAAATTAAGCTGCAATAAATTGAAGCATATATTAAAAGAGACAGGTACTTCTAGAGCATGTTTGGATTGCCAGAGCTGGTTAGAAAAGGAGGCATGGCTGCGACATTCCCAAGGACAATTATTCTATTCTCCCAGCCCCGTATACCCTGCAGAGACGTCACCGCAAGACAGATCCCCCCACAGCTTGCGGGAGCCATCCGCAGGCTCCCAGAAGCCCCAGGTTTGGGGTCCGCCTCCCCCAGAGCCAGGTGCCCACAACGGACTACATTTCCCAGTGTGCACTTCAGGGAGGTGGCTCGAGGGGGCGGTCCCACAGCTCGGCCTACACTCTGGTACACTTTTGATGACCCAAGCAGTTAACCAAAGTTCTCAAAGCCGTTGCTTGGCGAAGAGTTTTGCGAAACTCTCTCGACACTCTCACCCCATTATAGGTCACGAGTCCTGCAGGGTCTGTGGGGAACGCTCGTCCCCACATCCTCCTGGCCTCCAAGAGTTCGGCCCACTGAATCTGAGAGAAGGTCCAAGTCCAGGTTTATCGTCCCGGGAGAGATTTCCTGGTCCTTCGGAGTCCGCAATGCAGCCAGAGGTGGACAATGGAGACCTGGGGCTGGGCAGCCGAGGTGGGCCTCGAGGATGTGCAGCCGAAGACTACAACTCCCAGGCCGCACTGCGGCGGCGAACACGTCACGCTGGCACCGCCGGTGGCCCCGGGAAGCGGAGCGGGCGGGGGCAGGGGCTGGGGCCAACAGGGAGGCCGATGCCAAGGATGGGGGCTTCCCGGTCGCCCTGCGCGTGAGGAGGCCGAGGGGCGCGCCACCCCTTACCGGGGCGGGCGCCCCGGGCCCCACCACCCCTGTCCCGCCCGGCGACCGTGGCCCGGGATGAGGAGCCGGGGGCCGCCGGTGGAGCTCCACGGGGTGAGAGGCGCGGGGAAGGGGGCTGCCTGCGTCCCTCGCCCCCGCCCCCACCGGCGGACCCCAGCAGGATTTCGGGGACCGAAAGGCCTGGCGCTGTTAGCGCCCTGACATTTGGGGAAAGCAGGTGAACCCAGCACCCGGCCCCACTCGGACAGCAGTATCAAAGGGGAGGATCCTGCCCTTTTAGAGGTTCTTTCTGGCTCCTGCTGCGGGAGTCCCCAGTCATGGTCCCCAGAAGCCCCTCAGAGCCCACAGATACTGGGCCCCATCGCGGCCGCCGGAGCCCGCCCTCTGCATCCTCCGGGCAGCGGGTGTGAAGCGGCCTCCTGCAGCGCCGGCCCCTCCCCCATGGAGGAGGAGGAGGGGGCGGCGGTCAAGGAGTGGGGTACCCCCGCGGGGCCCGTCTGGACCGCAGTGTTCGACTACGAGGCGGCGGGTGAAGAGGAGTTGACCCTGCGGAGGGGCGACCGCGTCCAGGTGCTTTCCCAGGACTGTGCCGTGTCCGGCGACGAGGGCTGGTGGACCGGGCAGCTGCCCAGCGGCCGTGTGGGTGTTTTCCCCAGCAATTACGTGGCCCCAGTGACCCCCGCCGCACCTGCGAGCCTCCAGCTGCCCCAGGAGATCCCCTTCCACGAGCTGCAACTGGAGGAGATCATTGGGGTGGGGGGCTTTGGCAAGGTCTACCGTGCCCTGTGGCGTGGCGAGGAGGTGGCAGTGAAGGCTGCCCGGTTGGACCCTGAGAGAGACCCGGCAGTAACAGCAGAGCAGGTGCGCCAGGAGGCCCGGCTCTTCGGAGCTTTGCAGCACGCCAACATCATTGCCCTTCGGGGTGCCTGCCTCAGCCTCCCACACCTCTGCTTGGTCATGGAATATGCCAGAGGTGGTGCACTGAGCAGGGTGCTGGCAGGACGCCGGGTGCCCCCTCATGTGCTCGTCAACTGGGCTGTGCAGGTCGCACGGGGCATGAACTACCTACACAATGACGCCCCAGTGCCCATCATCCACCGGGACCTCAAGTCTATCAACAGTAAGTGGTCTGACTCCTTCCCAGAGCCTGTGCGACCAAGCCAAGGTGGTAGGATACCGGGAGAGGGCACCAAGTGACAATGTGGGTCAAGAAGAGACAGAAGTCTACCTACAGAGTGTGTGGGGCTGGTCTTGGCCCCATAAAGGAAGGAAAAGGAGGCTCAAAGGGGTGAACCATACCTACCTCCTTGGCTATAGAGTCACAGTAGCTCCGTAAATACTTAGAAAAGAGTTTTTCACCACAGGACAGAGCAGTGTCTGCCCTCATGGCGCTCGTCATTGGACCCGTGAGGACATTCCAGAAGCCTAACCTGGAATCCGTTTCTCAAATACCTTCCTGGTATTTGGAACCAAATGACTCTGTCCTCTGCATTGTAGGGTGTTTAGCGCTATCCTTGACCTCAGGCCACTAGCAGTAATTAGCATCTTTCATTCTCCCAGTTATGACAACCCAAGGTGTTTTAAGACATTGCTAAATGTCAGGTGCAGGGCAAAATAGGCCCCAGTCTAGAACCTCATCCTGGCATCTTCCCAGGCCTCTCTGACAAACTAGGAAAGATGAAGTGGGAGGAAAACAGATGTGGAAGAGGCTTAGATCAAAGCTTCCAGGCTGCCTGGCCTATCCCAAGCGCCCAAGAGCTGATTGGTTTGCTAATGAATGAAGGCAAGGTTCCGCAGGTGTTACATCCACATGAAGAGCTTCTCATCATTAAGATAGCAGATGTTAAGTGAATACCTCATGAGGAGTATTCTGGTAGAAACCAAAACAATCGTTTCTGCAGTTATATTCACAAAGTACAAATGTTTATTCATTCCATGAACATTACCAGAGTCCTTACTGTGACCAGACTCTGTCCTGCGCCTTAGGGATTCAGCAGGAGGACATCCTACCTTCCTGGCTCTTCTGTCCTTCCTCTGTCCCATCATGCTGTCTTTCAGTCCTGTGTTTGTGTTCATTCTTTATTCAATATTGACTGGGCCAGCACAGAGCAGCAACAGTGAATGAAGTCAGCATGTCTCCCTCACAGAACAACACCCAAGCCTAGAATGTGAAGTGCAGCCAGGGGCTCCCCTTTGCCTTCAACTCTTCTACTTCCCTTCTGAATCCTGTCTGCTCTCTTTCTTGAAATGTGTTTCGGTTTATACCACTGTTTTATGTTTTTTGCTGTTCCTCTTCCCACTCCACCAACTGCTGGCCCCGTGAACTAGGGGCTGGGTCTTCCTTACATGCTCAGCACAAGCCTATCCAGTGGCTGTTGCCAGGTGACCAGTAGGCTAGGGCCAGGGCTGGGCTGAGTGTTAGTTAACATCAAATCAGTTCTGATTCACAGCAGCCCATGTGTTGGGAGTGGAAGTGCTCAAGGCTGTCATATTTCAAAAGCAGACTGCCAGGCCAAAAGTAGACTTCTGAGGCCTCTGTGTCAGTTCAGACCACCTTTTGTTGTTATGTATGCCATTGAGTCACTTGCAACTCATAGTGACCCTTTGTACAACAGCTCTGAACCCTGTTCTATTTTGAGCTAACCTCATTGTCTCCAGCACACCTACTCTCAGTCACTGAATCAGTCCATGTCATCCAGGGTCCTCCTCTCTTGCATTGCCTCTCCACCCTTCCCTCACAAACTACCTATCTCATGCTTCACTGTGTGTCATCAAGTGGATTGAAACTCATGGTAACCCTAGAGGACAGGGTAGAGCTGCCCTACAGAGTGTCCAAGACTGTGGTCTTCTGGAAGCCAACTGCCACATTTTTCTCCCATGGAGCAACTGGTTGGTTCAAACTGCTAACCTGGTTAGCAGCAGAGTCCTTAACCACTGCATCACTATGGAGGCAGGAATCCCACAAACACACTTGCCATGATCCTTGTGATGTCTGGGACCCCTTCTGACCTCTTCTCCACCCCTATTGTAGGGTATAGGGCCATTACACACACACTCACACCACAAGGCTTTCTGTATCACCTTTATGAAGGTCTGATGAGAAGCTGAGAGGAGAGTTTCCTGATGGGACAAAGGGACATATTCATGACTTGAGAAAGAAGACAAAAGCTACCTCTCAGAGCCACTTATCTAAGATCACTCATTCATTGATTGGAGTCTTATGTACTTGCCAGATACCAGGCACTGTCTTCAGCTCTGAGGTTACAGGCATGAACAAGATTTTCACCTTTAAAGAACTTGGGTCCTCATGAGCAAAGACAGATAACACACCACAACTTCAGAACATACTGGGCGCTAAAGAAAATACAGCCTATGAAGGACAGCAGATTTAGATTGGGTGGTCAGGTTAGACAGCATTTGAACAGCCTCAATGAGGAGGACTCAGCCCTACAAAGATCTGAGGCAGAGTGGGAAGCACTTAGGTGGCAATGTGCTTGCAGTTATGTGCCATCAGATCACTTGCAACTCATAGTGACCCTTTGTACAACGGCTCTGAACCCTGCTCTATCTTGAGCCAACCTCATTGTCTCTGACACACCTATTCCCATACCCCAGTCACTGAATCAGTCCATCTTATCCAGGGCCTTCCTCTTTTGCATTGTCCCTCAACCCTTCATTTTGTGTTATGTGGAGCTGAAGTCAGAGCAGCAGGAATGAGGTCAGAAACACAGGTAGGGGGCCAGATTACATAGGATCTAGGGACCACAGTAAGGGCTTGGCATATTTTATTCAGTGTAATAGAAGCCATTAGTTTGTTTCAAGCAGAGAGTGGCATTGTCAGACATAATAATGTTGTTGTTATGTGCTGTTGAGTCACTTGCGATTCATAAAGACCCTGTGTACAACAGCCCTGAGACCTGCTCTGACACACCTACCCTCATTACCTCCGTCACTGAATCAGTCTATCTCATCGATGGTCTTCCCCTCTTTCTTCGTCCCTCTACCCTTCCAACCATGATGTCCCTCTCCAAGGACCAGTCCCTTCTTACAACATGCCCAGAGTATGTCAGATGAAGCCTTAGAATCCTTGCCTCCAAGGAGTAGCCTGGCTTCACCCTCTCTAGGACAAACTTGTTTGTTCTCTTGGCAGTGTTATATTCAACACTCTTTTCCAGCACCACAGCTCAAAGGCATCAGTTCTCTTTCTATCATCCTAAGTCATTGTCCAGTTCTCTAATGCATAGCAAGCAATTAGTCTCTAGACTGACATTATTGCTCTTCAGTACTCTGGAGAGGTCCTTGACAGCTGACTTCCCCAATGCAATCCATCTCTTGATTTCCTGGCTGCTGGTACCAAGAGTGTTGATTGTGGAGCCAAGCAAATTAAAGCTGTTAACAATCTCTTCAGCATCTATCATACTGCTGCCAATTGGCCCAGTGATGAGAATCTTTGTTTTCTTGATGTTGAGCTTCAATTCATATTGAAGGCTGAAGTCCTTGAGCTACTGCCGCAAGTGCTCCAAATCCTCCTCAGTTTCAGTAAGCAGAGTTGTGTCATCTGCATAACACAGGTTATTGATGAGTCTTCCTCAAATCCTGATGCCACTTTCCTCCTCATACAGCCCAGCCTCCCGGATGATCTGTTCTGCATGTAGATTGAAAAGGTATGGAGTCAGAATACATCCCTGGCGTACACCCTTCTTGATTTTGAACCATGCAGTGTCTCCTTGTTCTGTTCTGACCACTGCCTCCTGGTCCAAGTATAGATTTCACGTAAGCACAATCAAATATTCCGGGATTCCCTTTCTTATCAGTCAGCCACAGTTTATTGTGTACACACTCAGACACCTTTGCATAGTCAATGAAACACAGATATTCCTCTGGTACTCTGCTTTCAGCCAAGATCCATCTAACATTAGCTAGAATATCAATAGTACCTTTTCTAAACCCAGCCTGCACATCTGGCAGTTCTCTGTTGATATGCTGTTCCAGTTGTGTTTGGATAATTTTCAGTAGAATCTTGCTTTCTTGTGATAGTAATGATATTGTTTGATAATTTCTGCATTTTTTTTTTGTTAATCAACATTCACTTTATTTTTTAGCTTGACCTTCTAGTAAATCTTTAGCTTCATTGATTTTGGCTGCTATATAAGGAGATCCTCCCTTGTCTGGGTGATTTAAGAGCATAATTCGTCTATGAGCATCTCTTATTTTTCCTTTATTGGCGGTAGGGCTGGCATTATTATACCTTACACCTAGTATTAATGCTGCTTCCCGTTTTGTCATTTTGGGTTCAAATCCACCTCTGTAATAACCACCACTGAAGGCAGATTTTGGTAGACTTTGCAAAACTTGTTTTACTTGAGGTTCCACATGCTTCATGGCTTGCAAAACATAACGTCCTGCAAATCCTGCAGCAGCAATGGTCAGTCCAACTGCTACCATTGTACTGGCCATGGTTCCAGCTCGGCTGTCCTGCATCCACGGGGACCGCGGCTCATGCCAACCAGCGGCCGTGGCCACTCTCCAGACACCTCGGAAAGCCACACACCATCGACAGCTGCAAATCCCCCCCACCCCGTACCAGACACCCTAATTTCTGCATTTTATCAGGTTACCTTTCTTTGGGATGGGAAGAAATATAAATCTCTTCCAGTCAGTTAGTCCTCCAGATTTCTTGGCACAACTTAGTGAGTGCACCCAGGGCAGCATCTGTTTGTTGAAATAATGTTAATTGGTATGCTGTCAATTCCTGCAGTCTTGGTTTTTGCCAGCTCTTTCAGAGCAGCATAATAGCTAACATTTTTAAAGAACCTATGTGTAATGTGAGCTCTGGTGGCCTACTGGCAAGAAGCTGCGCTGCAATCCCAAAGGCTACTATCTGCTCCTGGGGAGAAGGATGGGAAACCTCCTCCCTTGGGATTAAATGCCTCTGAAAACCTGCTGGAGGGTCAGCTGTTGGTTCCGTCTCTATGGTACACAACAACATGTTGAGTTATGTCTGACCCTCCAGTGGGTTTTCAGAGGCAGTAAATCACACAGGAGGAGATTTGTCCATCTTTCTCCTGAGGAACAAGAGGATTCAAAACCATGTGCCTTCAGGTTGCAGCACAACTCCTTACCATGTGTCCACCAGCTTCCTAACTATGGTTGTACAGCTTTATGAAACAAGTACTATTATTCCCAGTTAGGTGCACTGTGGCATCTCTCCCTCCTTCTACCGCACCCCTCACCTAGTGCCATTGAGTTGGAACTGTAGCCAACTCCAGTCATTTTCCAGAGGCAGTAAATCACCCAGTAGGAGCTAGCCCATCTTTCTACCGAGTAGCAGCTGGTGGATTCAAACTACCTGCATTTGTGTTGATAGCTATCTTCTTACCTACTAGCCACTAGTTACAGTGTATTACATATTAGACTGCTAATTGAAAGGTCATTAGTTCAAATCCACCAGTGCTCCACAGGACACAGATTAGGCAAATCTGGTCCTATTAAAATGTATAGTCTCAGAAATGCAATGAAGGAATTGACTCAGCAATAAGTTTTTAGGGGTTTTTTTGTTTCCCCCCCTTTTTTTTGAGACAGTCCCTTTTTTAAAAAAATTGGGATTTTAATGACATTTTATAGAGAACTTGGATTTCCATTCATTCAATATTGCACATTTTCCTCCCTGCACCCTCCAGTTCACTTTTCTCTTTGGGGAAAAATAAAATTCTTTTGTTGTTGTACAATTCTCCACCCCAGTCCACTTTACTATGCAGCTTTTATTCTGGACTGTTATCATACTTATAATTACTGTTGTTGTTATGTGCCATCAAGTCGTTTGCAACTCATAGCGACCCTATGTACAACAGCCCTAAACCCTGCTCTATCCTGTGCCAATCGCACTGCCTCTGACACATCCATCCCGATTACCCCAGTCACTGAATCAATCCACCTCATAGAGGGTCTTCCCCTCCTGCGCTGTCCCTCCACCCTCCCAAGCATGACGTCCCTCTCCAAGGACTTGTCCCGCCTTACAACGTGCCCAAAGTATGTCAGACGATGCCCCAGAATCCTTGTCTCCAAGGAGTAGCTTGGTTTAACTCTCTCCAGGATGAATCTGTTTGTTTTCTTGGCAGTCCATGGTACATTCAATACTCTTCTCCAGTACCACAGCTCAAAGGCATCAATTCTCCTTCTGTCCTCCCTAGTCATTGTCCAACTCTCTGATGCGTTAACAAGTGATTGCAAAGACCATGGCTTGTATCAGGCGCACATTAGTCTCCAGAGAGACACCATTGCTCTTGAGTACTTTAGAGAGGTCCCTAACAGCAGACTTTCCCATCGCAATACGTTATTTTTATGATACAATTACTATCAAGAAGTATTTTTTCCTTTTTTTTAGTTTTTTTATTATTAAATTTTATTAGTTTTAATGAACATTTACAGAGATTTTGGGTTTTCATTCATTCAATGTTGCACCATTCTCTCTACCCTCCTCCCCAAGCCGAGCCCACTGAAGCTGTGAACAATCTCAATCTCTTCGCCATCCATCCTGATGCTACCAATTGGTCCAGTGGTGACAATCTTTGTCTTCTTGACATTGAGCCTCAGTCCATAATGAAGGCTGCAGTCCTTGACCCTCTGCAGCAAGCGCTTCAGGTCCTCCTCAGTTTCAGCAAGCAGGGTTGTACCATCTGCATAACACAGATTATTAATAGATCTTCCATCAGTCCTGACTTTTAAGCCTTTCTTTCCCTTATCTGTTTCCATGCAGTGTACATTATTTATCTCCTCTTTTCTTAGTTTTCCCCAACCCTGATGTCAGTCCTGTTTTACAACAGTTGCATTAAGCAGTATTTGTCCTTTTGTGACAGATATTTCACTCAGCATACTGTCCTCTAGGGTCACACATTTTGTATATTATTTCATGTTTTTCAGTGCTGCACAGCATTCCATTGTGTGAATATACCACAGCTTCTCTATCCATTTGTTTGTTGATGGGCACTTGGATTGTTTCCATCCCTTTGCTATAGTGAAGAATGCAGTAATAAACATGGGTGTGCATATATCTGCTTGGGTGGCATTTCTGGTTTCTTGAGGTGTATTCCCAGTAGTGGAATTGCTGGGTCAAATTGTATTTCTATTTCCACGTTGCTGAGAAGCATCATACTGCCTTCCATAGTGGTTGCACCATTTTACACTCCCACCAACAGTGAATAAGTTTTCCAGTTTCTCCACAAACTCACCAGCATTTGTTGTTTGCTGCTGTGTTGAATGTTGATACTCTTAACGGGGGTTGAGTTGATATCTCATAGTAGTTTTTTATTGTTTCCCCATTTAACAGAAAAGAGTCTGGTGTTAAGATATTTTGTGGTGAAGCTTATTAGTGGCAAAGCTGGGCTTCAAATCCAGACAGTACTCTCTACACCGTAAGGCTTCTATTTGCTGAAGGTAGTGGAATTTAGCAGTTAAGAGACTGGGTTCTGATAACAGAAGGAATTCTTTACCCCACTATTTTCTAGCTGTGTGATCTTGACCAAATGACTTCATTTTTCTGAGCCTCCATTTTCAAGTCAATAAAATGGGTTTGTTGTGAATTATTAGTCATTAGTATAAAATGTTTAATGAGTGGCTGTCTAGTCTATCATCTGCCCCGCTCATGACACCTCTGGTAGCTCATGACATCCGAGTAAAACTGTGCTCCAGTGGGTTTTAGGTTTTCAGTGGCTGCTGCTTCAGATATAGGTCACCAGACCCTTACTGCAATGTGCCTCTAGGTATACTCAGATCTCTGACCTTTCAGTTAGCAGCTAAGTGCTTTAAACGTTCAGGAATTACATGAAGGGTTTAGTCCTGTCCTGGCATACAGCAGGCCCAGTTACAGACTATACTATAGCAGACTGATAACCAAAAGTTCAGCAGTTTGACTCCACTGGCCACTCTGGGGAAAAAGATGGGCAATCTCCACCCCTAAGGATTTGCAGCCGCAGACACCCAATAGTGGGTTGCTGTGAGTCAGAACCAACTCAACAGCAGTGGAGGGTTTTGGCAGATAAACATTACTCATACTCATTGCTGTCGAGTTAGAACTCACTTATAGTTTACCCTCCAGCAGGTTTTTAGAGGCTGTAAATCGGACAGGAGTAAACTGCCTATCTTTTTCCCGAGGAGCAGCTAGTGGGTGGCAGAGAAACTCCCTACACCCTAGCCCACCGGAGCTTCCTAGGCAGCAGATAACTGGAATGATTCTGTATGATTGAGGAACATACCAGTCCATTTTTGCCACAGTAATGCTGTGAAACAAACCATCCCCAAGCTCAGTGACTTTAAACAACCATCATTTGTTACTGTGCATATGTGTTGCATCTTAGCTGGAGGATGATGAGAGCATAAGAGGCTAGCAGACACATGTCCTGAAGTCTAAGCTTGGACCTGCTATCAGTCATTTCCACCTCATTCTGTTGACTACCAAGCTGCATGGCCAACCTACACCAAGGGTTGGGGATATCTACGCTCTCTCTCTTTGGGATGAAGAATGTGACATAGAGCAAATTGGGGTTATTAGTACAGTCTGTCATTGTGTTGTTGATTGCCTTTGAGTCAAGCATGACTAATAGTGACCTTATGAACAAAAGACCTGAAGCTTTTCTATAACTATCATCATTTCTCAAAGTTCATAGAGTTTCCAGAGGCATGTTGTTTAAGAAGTGGATGCCACTCCTGCTTCCTTCAGTCTGTCATAGGGGGTGACAAAGATGGAAAGAGCCCTACTTATTATGGTTTGCAGTTCTCATTTCTGGTTGTTATTGTAGTTGTGTACAGTTAAGTTGGAATCAACCCCTAGCTGACTCTCCAGTGGGTTTTCAGAGGCAGTAAATCATATGGGAGGAGATTGCTCATCTTCTGCAGAGCAGCTGGTAGATTTGAACCATGTCCCTTTGGGTTAGCAATGCAGCTCCTTACCACTAAGCCACTAGAGTTCCCTACCACTTTTGGGAGAACTGAGAACCAAGTAGGGCCAAGGCTTTGGCTAAAAATGTTTCATGGAGTTGAGTGGACAGGGGGAAAGACATGGGGTTCCAAACAGGAAAGGTGTTGATCCAGATTTAGGGAGTAGCGGGAGGATACATCTGAGATACCCAGGCCTGTCTCAGACAGATCCCAGTGACCCACCTCTCTCCCCACCCACAGTCCTTATTTTGGAGGCCATCGAGAACCACAACCTCGCAGATACGGTGCTCAAGATCACAGACTTCGGCCTCGCCCGTGAGTGGCACAAGACCACCAAAATGAGTGCTGCGGGGACTTACGCCTGGATGGCTCCGGAGGTTATCCGCCTCTCCCTCTTCTCCAAAAGCAGTGATGTCTGGAGGTGCTGAGAGCTGAGTTGGGGCAGCCCCTGGAAATGGGAGGAGGGCAGGTGGGGTCAAGGATGGCATGGGAGGGCAGCTCCCACTGCAGCCGAGATCCTGGTCACCTGGCAGAGAAGATGGCCAGCACGGTCAGACCCGCACATGAGGGCCAGATCAGTTACTTGTTCTGCCCGTGCACATGGCAGCTCAGGAGTGACTTGAAGTGAAATAAATCCCAGAGGTAGGATGTCCTCCCCTCAGAAAGTAGCCAAGTTCCATTTGTCAGACCAGGAAATTGAGGCCTTTGGAGGCAAGCATTAATTTATTCATGCATTCATCTAGTTGTGCTGGCTTCTAGGGTTGCAGCAGTGAACAAAAAGAGACATGTGTCTGCCCTGAGACATAGTAAGTACACAAGAAGACTTTGTAAAGAAAATCAGAATTTTAAAAGTTCTTATAAAGTGCCATCGAGTCAACTCCAATTCATAGCAGTCCTATGAAGAACAAAGCTGGACTTGCCCTGTCTTTGCCATCCTTCTCACCTCTGATACGCTCAAGCCCATTGTTACAGCCACTGTGTCAGTCCATCTTTTGAGGGCCTTCCTCTCTTTCTCTGATTCCCCACCTGCCCCAGCTTGATGTCTTTTTCCCAGAGCTGGCCCTTCGTGACAGTATGCCCAGTGTATGTCAGACAGAGTTTACCATCTTTGCCTGTAAGGAATACGAGATCAGAAAGAATATTAAATAGCACTTAGAGCTACCCTGGTAGGCTTGACATGGGTAAAGGTCTGGTTTGTTCTAGAAGCAGCAGGGAGACCCATGAAGCTAGAGCAGAGCAGGAGACAGAACCAGGATCCTGGCAGTAAGGGAACTACTTAGAGTTCCTTCCAGTAAACCAGCAAATGAGTAGGTTTAGGGCAGAGACAAGTCCAACAGGAAGTTTCTAGCTTGTACTTGAGCACAGCAGCCCCCAGAGAGAAGTTCTGAACAGCTTTCCAGCAAGCAGCCACTTCTAGTACCAAAAATTTATTGGAGCTGTGTTTCAGCTCTCTCCCTCATGGGAAGCCTGGGACTGACATGATGCCCCAACATTAAGGATTCAGGCTCTATCTAGTTGGGATTCTTCATGGGAGTGTGTGTGGCATTTGGGCAGGATAATTTACTCTCTTGTGCTTCTGAGTGTCTATGGTTTCTGGCCACCAATGTCTGTAACATTCCCAATCTCAACCAGAATGTCCCACAAGTTTCCAGGGACGTGGTAGAAGTTCAGGTGAAAAATCACTATTTTCCCCCCTCCCACCTGCATGGCCCTAATTCCAATCCAAATGGTTAGTTTAACATGACATATCTTCCTACATCCTACTGGCGAGTCTGAAGTTAGATGGCCACATATATGTGCAAAGGAAGATAGGCAGTGCCTCTTAGCAGGGTGTTTCCAGTTCAGACTCACCAGGGCTATGATTAAATAGAAGAGGAGAAAGTAACAATGGCACAAAGACAGGAGTTGTATCTATCTCATTCACTGCTGTATCCTCAGGGCCTAGGAAGTGCCTTGTACACAGCAGGTGCTTAATATAGACGAATGAATAAAATGAGTTGATGTTGGAGGCAAACAGGAGTCTCCTATGCATCAGGCATTTCACAGAGTGGTGAACCGGATCTGGAAGGACGCTTAGCTTCCTGGGCAAGGTGGACACAGAGTGATTGTAACAGTGATCGGGTGTTGTGTCCATTTAAAGGCTCTGTCTTGGGTATCAGGGAGCCCTCAGTCCAAATGTGGCGACACCGCATACTAACTTTGTGGCCTTGGGCAAGCAGTTTAACCTCTCTGAGTCTCCCCAAACAAAATATTGTGTACCATCGTGTTGGAACCAACCCATAGCTTACCTTCCAGCGGGTTTTCAGAGGCAGTAAATCACACTGGAGGAGATTGCTCATCTCCAGAGCAGCTGGTGCATTTGAATCTTGTACCTTTGCATTGGCAGCATGATTGCTTATCACCAAGCCACTAGAGCACCCTCCAGACAAAATAAGGCCGTACAATACCTTCTACCTCACATACTCTTGTGAGAATTACTGGGCATGCCTGGCTTGGATGTTAAATTCCGTTAGCCTGTTTTTAGAGGCAGGTACTACAGGTTTTATGGGAACTTTGAAAATGAGTCTGTAATCCAGCTTTGAATTGAGGAAGAGAGAGGTCCCTGGCAGGTACTTGGCCCTCACCTGAATTGAGACTTGAGGGACAAAGGGACGAGTGTCTAGTCAAAGCAATCAATGTGTGCAAAGAGCAAAAGTTAGGGTTGTGCAGTTAAGTGGCTAAGGTTTGTCATGGAGCTGAGAATGTTTCCAGGCAAGGCTGCAGGGGTCATCAAAGGTCAGGGCTGGTTTTTTTCTCATAGACAGGAAACTAACTAAAGGCTTTCAGGCAGGGATAAGGGAAGCAAGACAGCAAAGAAGAGACATCAGAGAACCCCACTCCCTTGTTCTGAAGATCAAATCAGGTTGTGTGGCCTCATCCAGAAGGGAGAGGGGGTATTGGGGTGGGAGGGAGTACATGGAAGGATGGGGGTAGACCGAGCATCACCTTCCCTCTCTTCTCCCTGCAGCTTCGGAGTGCTGCTCTGGGAGCTGCTGACAGGGGAGGTCCCCTACCGAGAAATCGATGCCTTGGCCGTGGCATATGGCGTGGCTATGAACAAGCTGACGCTGCCCATCCCCTCCACGTGCCCCGAGCCCTTTGCCCGCCTGCTAGAGGGTGAGCCAGGACCCCGTGGAGAGGGTCAGCTCAGCTTGAGGTGGTCAGGGCCCTCAGGCCCAGACTAACCTTTATCACACAAGTAGTTCCAGGAGGGTGAGGGGCTGGGAGTCCATCAACTGGGAAGACTCTCCACAAGAGTTGGCTCTGTGACCAGGCCCACCCACTGCTTTTGAAAGCAACCCCTTAGGTGTCACTAGACCAAGGGTTTCCCCCAAATCATGGCTCTACCACCAGTCCCTCAGCAGGAAGCCGGCCTGCTGAGTGGGGTAGTATTACCTGGGCCTCCTTTCCCCAGCTCTGTGGAAGCAGTTGTCCATAGTTCCCTGAGGCCTTGCCTTCTGCTCAGCAAACTGATTCCCCCCGAATCTAACAACGCCATCCCCAACACTGTCCTCCTCACACTCACCCCAGAATGCTGGGACCCAGACCCCCATGGGCGGCCAGACTTTGGCAGCATCTTGAAGCGACTCGAAGTCATCGAACAGTCAGCCCTGTTCCAGATGCCCCTGGAGTCCTTCCATTCACTGCAGGAAGACTGGAAGCTGGAGATTCAGCACATGTTCAATGACCTCCGGACCAAGGAGAAGGTGGGACAGAGGCACAAGAGGAGTGAGCAAGATCCCTGAGTTATGTGCCCTCAGTTATATATTCAGCCCCTTCCCCTGAGGCCCAGCCTTGCAAGGCCATTGGGCCTTCTTTTGCATGTTAAGGACTCAGGAGATCCTGCATGATGTCTGGGACTGGCTTTAAAATAGCACAGCAGAAATTAAGGAAGGGAGGGAGAGAACCAAATGGGAATAAATGAACAAGATGTGCAACATATAGATGCTTGTTCAAGTTAAATGAAAGCTCTCCTAAATGAAGCGGTGTGGTGAGAGACGGAAAGGAACTCCTTTCTTCAGACTTACACAGTCCCCTGCTCTGGCGCCCAACTTAGTGAGTGATGCCTCATGGGCTGTACTCAGGCCCCAGTGACCCAACAGCCCACTCCCAGGACCCCTGAGCAGATCACCCTCCCTCATCCCTGGCATCTGTCCTCAGGAGCTGCGGAGCCGGGAGGAGGAGCTGCTGCGGGCAGCACAGGAGCAGCGCTGCCAGGAGGAGCAGCTGCGGCGGCGTGAGCAGGAGCTGGCGGAGCGCGAGATGGACATTGTGGAGCGGGAGCTACACCTGCTCATGTGCCAGCTGAGCCAGGAGAAGCCCCGGGTCCGCAAGCGCAAGGGCAACTTCAAGCGCAGCCGCCTGCTCAAGCTGCGGGAAGGCAGCAGCCACATCAGCCTGCCCTCTGGTACCCGTTGTGCCCTGCATGTCCCCAAGGCCACTGGACTATCCTAACCAGGCTCTCCACGTTCCCTGTAGATACTAAAATGACCCCCAAAACATACATCTTAATTATTATGCTCACCCATTAAAGCAGAAAGCAGCCACCCCAAATGCCCTCTCTAGGTCTCTTCCCAAATATTGCCCAGGAGTAACCCTTAATATTGGGATCATTTATCCTCCCTCAGTCCAGATTCCCTAAAAATTGGTATTAGGTTATAAACAGGTATTCCCACCTGGATTCTGACTCCTGACGACCCTGTGTGCATCAGGACAGACATTTCAGTGGCTGTGACCCAGGGGAAATAGGTCCCCAGGACATTCTGTAAAAGCTCCTCTGGGCAAATTTGAACCTTGGCCTTTCAGTTGGCTGCTAAGCACATTCGTTAACCCAGGGGCTCTAATATTGGTAGTGGTGGTTACATGCTGTTGGTGAGATTCTATCAATTTTGACCCCAAAGCCAGCAACCATAACAGTTGGAATCTCAAGGCTTAATTGGGTTAGGGGGGAGGTTCGGGGGGAAGGGACAGTGGAGGACAAGAATTGTCAATTCCAGCAGGGCTCCAGTTTCTCCTGTTGGTCTGGGGGCCACACACTGGGATGACTAGGACTGCAAAATGACAAAGCTAACAATTCTTGGCTCCTTCTTGACTTCTACAAAGAGAACTTGCTTTTGGTTACTTAAGCTGAGGGGAGCATTTGCTTAAGAAAGTCTCCCTTTTTTTTTTTTTTTTTTTGCAGGCTTTGAGCACAAGATCACAGTCCAGGCCTCTCCAACTCTGGATAAGCGGAAAGGATCAGATGGGACCAGCCCCCCTTCCAGCCCCAGTGTCATCCCCCGGCTAAGGGCCATTCGCTGTGAGTGTTCCCCAAGCACCCAGCCATCACTCAGTCATTTAACAAATTTCTCTGTGTATAAGCCTCTCACCAAATCAGAGGTGCAGTGGGGCATGAGAAAGCCTCATTCTTCCTCTTTTCTCATCAGGGAGAGATAGATAAATAAACCAGCAAGAAGGATATTCCACAGATTGGAAAATCTGAGAAGGGAATGAAAGAGAAGTTTTATATAGGCCTCTCCAACACGGGCTGGTATGGTAAAGAGAGCTCAACAAGTGAGATCTGAAAGAACGGTGTTCTTGGCTGAGGGACCAGCACAAGGAAAGGCCCTGAGATCAAAACAAGTGAGGCCTATCTATTGGTAGGAGGAGCTTCCTGGAAGAGTGAATAAGAAAAAGAGTATGGACCTGTGGTCAGAGGGGAGCAGAGCACACTAAACTTTGTGAACCATGCCAGGGTATTTGGGTTTCATGTAAAATAATGGAAAGACCCAAGCAGTCTCTGAACAAGTCCAAAACCAAGCCAGGCCTAATGCCATCTAGTCAATTCCAACTCCTAGAAACCCTGTAGGACAGATAGAAACTGCCCTATGGGCTGTCCAAGGTTGTAAATCTTTGTGGAAACTGGCTGCTTCACCCTTCTCCCACAGTGGCTGTTGGTGGGTTCAAACCTCTGTCCTTTTGATTAGCAGCCAAGCACTTTACCTATCATGCCATAGGTGTTCCTATGATAAAATGTCCTCCTCCTTTTCTGGAGTCTGTGAGGAGTTAGGATTGTAGGAGGGCAGGAACAGAGGCAGATGGGTCAGTGGAGTTCTGGTGGCCTGGGTGGGGGGCCGTGCAGAGGGTAGAGAGCCACAGATGGGGGCTTCATGCAGAATGAAAATTCTTGGGGTTAGATGACAGACCGAAGAGGGTGAGGCCAACTCCCAAGTTTGTGCAGCCCCATCACTGCCCCTTGGCCTTGCGCCTCTCCTCCTGTAGTATGAGGGCCAGAGGTCTTGGGGGCAGACACTGGCCAGATGGCATGCTCCTCCCACCCACTGCTAGCAGGGCACTCAACTCAGGGCAACTCTCTGTTGGGTTTCTAAGGTGAAAAGTCCTCATAGGATCAGTTTGCCTCATCCTCCTGAAACTAGTGGGGTCAAACTGTTGACCTTTTAGCAGCCTACCATCAAGGTTAACAAGGTGGTGTGCCGTCAAGACAGAACCAACTCATAGCTGAGCTTCTAGCTGGTTTTCAGAGGTAGTAAATCACATGGGAAGAGATTGCCCATCCTTCTTCCACAGAGCAGCTAGTAGATTTGAACCTTGTATCCTTAGGATTGCAGTGCAGCTTCTTACCACTCTGGCGGCCTAGTGGATAAGGAGTTGTGTTGCCAAAACAAAGGCAAGTGGTTCAAATCCACCACCTGCCCTGTGGAAGAACAATGAGCAGTCTCCTCCAGTGTGATTCATTGATTCCAAAAGCCTGCTAGATAGAGGGGCAGCTATCAGTCTGTTCCAACTGGACAGCAATCAATGACAATTTTTTTTCTTTTTTTTTAAATTTTTATTGTATTATTTTTACTTGTACCGTCAAATCAGATCTGACTGGTACAGGAGGAGATTGCCTCCTCCTTCTCCAGCAGAGCATCTGGTGGATTTGAACCACACATCTCTGGGATTGCAGTGCAGTGTCTTGCCACTGACAATTTTTTAAAAATTATTAATTTCAGTGAAAATTTACAGAGACTTTGGATTTCCGATCATTCATTGTTGCACTTTTCTCTCCTCCTAACCCTCCCCCCAGTACACTACCCTCCTGGAAAAGTGAAAGAAAAATTCTTTCATTGTTTTACAGCCCCTCCCCCCAAGCCCACTCCACTATGCAGCCTTCGCTCTGGACTCCTGTCATGACAAAAATACCTAGTCACCTATCCCTTCTAAATAGTTTTCTCCCTCATCTATTTCAATGCAGTATACATTATTGAACCCATCTTTCTCAGTCTCCCCCCAACCCCAAGGTCAGTCTTGTTTTACAGCAGTGGCACCATGCAGTATTTGTCCTTTTGTGACTGAGATACTTCACTAATGTCCTCCAGGGTCACCCATTTTGAATAATATTGCATGAGTTCCTAGGTTTTCAATGCAGCATAGTATTCCATTGTGTGAATATACCACAGCTTCTCTATCCATTCATTTGTTGATGGGCACTAAGGTTGTTTCCAACTCCTTGCTATTGTGAACAAAGCCACGATAAACATGGGTGTGCATATATCTGCTTGGGTGGCAGTTATGGTCTCTTTGGAGTATATTCCCAGTAGTGGAATTGCTGGGTCAAATGGTATCTGTATTTGCAACTTTTTGAGAAAGCGCCATACCACCTTCCGTAATGGTTGCACCATTTTACACTCCCACCAACAGTGAATAAGGGTTCCAGTTTCTCCACAACCTTGCCAGCATTTGTTGCTTGCTGTTCTGTTAAATTTTGCTGTTCTGATGGGGGTGAGATAGTATTAATAGTTGTTTTGACAAATTTTTTTTAAAAAAGGGTACAGTTATCAGTGTTGGAGTCCTGTTGGCACAGTAGTTAAGAGCAGTTGGCATGTGCAGCAATGAATGAGTAGAAATCCAAAGTCTGTAAATTTTCATTGAAATTAATAATAAAAAGAAAAAAGGGGGGGGAAAGCAGTTGGCTGCTAAGCAAAATGGTCAGTGGTTCAAACCCACCAGCTGCTTCATGGGAAAAAGCTGCGGCAGTCTTCTTCCATGATTTATAGCCTTGGGAACCCTGTGTGGTACTTTGCCTCTGTCCTATAAGGTCCACTGGGGCCTGGAATTGACTCAGGGGCAGCGGGTTTGGTTTTTTCATTATTCTAACCTGTGTGGTAGGAAAGGAGAGGGAGGGCAGCTGACTCCAGGAAACTAACTGCTCCTGAGCTGGACACTGAAGGGCAAGCGGTCAATGTAGACTGAAAGGAAAGAGTTCCAGGTAAAGGGAACAGTCTGTGCAAAGGCACCGGCTGGGGAAACCGCATGCACTGGAGGGAAGGGGCTTCACCTCCTCCCCACACCTGTGTCTGCTATTCTCTCTGCTGAAACATCTTCTCCCTCATTGTCTGCTGGGGTCTCTCTCACCTCCTCCTCATTCCTTCCTGATGCCTCAGCCCTTCACCATGCTCTGTGTCTTCCATGACATGTGTCACCATCTTGCCACATATCGGCAACTTCTCAGTTCTCAAATCCATTGCTGTCATATCAAAACTGACCCATACCTGGCCCTCTAGTAACTTTCAGAGACTGTAAATCGTAGAGGAGGTGATTGCTTATTTTTCTCCTAAGGAGCAGCTGGTGGATTCAAACCACGTGTCTTTGTATTGACAGCACAACTTCTTACCCACTAGACCACCAGAGCACTGCATTTGAATGTCTCCATCTACTAAATTAGAAGCTCTCCAGAGGCAGGGATTTTGTCTGTATCACTCACTGCTGTCTCTCTATGTCTGGCACCTAGAAAAAGCAAAAGCCCAGATGCTGTGGGGTCAACATCGACTCCTATCAGCTCCATGAGTAGCAGTAAACAGTTGGGGGTAAATGAATGGCCCAAGGGCTAGCCTTCAAGAAGTAATGGCCGATGACCTTGGAGACATTAGCGGAAAATAGCACAGAAAGAGCCTCAAAAGCCAGGCTGAAGAACTGAGGCTTTGCTCCGCCACAGTGGGAGCTGGGAAGGGTTGATGGCAGGAGTGGGACATGACTGGGGTGAGGAAGGACCCTGGGCTCCTGGAGAGGGTGGCTCTGACACAGGGAGGCCCAGCCAGGGCAGATGCTCCAAGGCTGGTAATAGAGTGGCCTTCTTCGGCCCAGTGACCCCAGTGGACAGTGGTGGTGGCGGCAGCAGTGGAAGCAGCTGTGGTGGCAGCGGAACCTGGGGCCGCAGTGGACCCCCAAAGAAGGAAGAACTGGTTGGAGGCAAGAAGAAGGGCCGAACGTGGGGACCCAGCTCTACGCTGCAGAAGGAGCGGCTCGGTGGAGAGGAAAGGTACTGACAGCAACATCGAGCCTGCTTGGCATATTCTGCTCCCTCAGATGCAGGCAGCCACGCAACTGACACCCAACCCCATCTCCTTGCCCCCACAGGCTGAAGGCCCTGGGGGAAGGCAGCAAGCAGTGGTCCTGCAGTGCCCCCAACTTGGGCAAGTCCCCCAAACACATACCCATTGCCCCAGGCTTCGCCAGTCTCAACGAGATGGGTAAGGGGGTGAGGGTACCCATTAAACAAGGTATGCCTCTGGCCAGAGGGGAGCAGACCCTGGGAGAGGACTGACCATGGCAGCGTTGGGGGTGAACAGGAAGATCAGGATTTTGCTGGGTGCTCCCTTGAGAAGAGGACAGCCCCTTGAGTTTGGGGGTCATTCCCAGGGAGCAAAAGCTTTTGAGAGGAAGATCTGATAATGAAGCCAAGTGGGACATGGTGGCATCGCTGTTGGAAAGATCTCTGGGGCATCCCCTTGCCCACAAGTCCCAGGGTCCCAGACCAGAACTGAGTGCCCCTTTCTCCCCTTTGCAGAGGAGTTCGCGGAGGCAGACAGTGGCAGCGTGCCTCCTTCTCCCTACGCCACCCCGTCCTACCTCTCGGTGCCGCCTCCTGAGCCCTCCCCTGGGACCACGCCACCCGCGCGCTCAGGCCATGGTCCCCGGCGGCGCTGCGAGCTCGCCCTGCTGGGCTGCGCCTCGCTGCTGGGCGCTGTGGGCCTGGGTGCCGATGTGGCGGACGCGCGGGCCGCAGATGAGGAGCAGCGGCGCTGGCTCGATGGTTTCTTCCCCCGAGCTGGCCGCTTCCCCCGCGGCCTCAGCTCCCCCGGACGCCGCCCTGGCCCCGCACCCGGCCTCGTGTCCTCGGCCACCCTTGTGTCCCTGTCCTCTGTGTCTGATTGCAACTCCACGCGTTCGCTACTGCGCTCCGACAGCGACGAGGCCGCCCCGTTGGCACCCTCGCCGCCCCCCTCGCCCCCAGCGCCCACACCATCACCCAGCACCAACCCCCTGGTGGACTTGGAGCTGGAGAGCTTCAAGAAGGACCCTCGCCAGTCCCTCACGCCTACCCACGTCACAGCAGCACACTCCGTGAGCCGGGGACATCGGCGGACACCGTCGGACGGGGCGCTGGGGCAGCGGGGGGCACCCGAGGCCCTGGGTCATGGCCCTGGTGAGTGAGGCACCCCCAACTGGTCCTGTGTCCAAGCCCAGCCTCCACCCATCTGGAGCCAGGTGCCACCTCTTGTCATGGAGAAGGGAGGCTCAGTATCCCTAGGCCTCACTGCTGGAGCCACTGTGGGTCCTTGTGACTGAGAAATGGTGGCAAACAGTGATGTACACAACAGGCTAGACAGGCGACATAGGATCACTGTGGACCACTTGCTGCAGTGGGACTGGTGACAATGCCAGGTGTGTCAGAGTAGAGCTTTGTGCCCCAGGTTTTCATTGGCTTATTTTTCAGAAGTAGATTGTCAGGCCACTCTTCCTATAACCTCCAGCCTACCTTTAGCAACATATTGAAGACTACAGTCCAGGATCACTGTGGACCACTTGCTGCAGTGGGACTGGTGACAATGCCAGGTGTGTCAGAGTAGAGCTTTGTGCCCCAGGTTTTCATTGGCTTATTTTTCAGAAGTAGATTGTCAGGCCACTCTTCCTATAACCTCCAGCCTACCTTTAGCAACATATTGAAGACTACAGTCCTTGACTTTTTGCAACAAGTGCTTCAGGTCTTCTTCAGTTTCAGCAAGCCAAGTTGTTTCATCTGCATATCATAGGTTCTTAATGAGTCTTCTTCCAATCTTGATGCCACACTCTTCCTCATAAAGCCCTGCTTCTTGAATGATCAGTTCTGCACACAGATTGAAAAAGTATGGGGACCGGATGCATCCCTGATGCACTCCTTTCCTGATTTTGAACCATGTAGTGTTTCCTTGCTCTGTTCTGAGGACTGATTTTTTATCCAAGCACAGGCTTAGTATAGAAATAATATTATAATTGAAGCTCAATATCAAGAAGACAAAGATCCTCACCACTGGGCCAATCGGCAGCACCTATTAAATGGAGAAAAGATTGAGGTTGTCAGCAATTACAGCTTGCTCAGATTCACAATTAACACTCTTAATGCCAGGAGGCAGGAAATCAAAAGACTAATTGCATTGGGAAAATCTGCTGTCGTGGACTTCTCCAAAGTGCTGAAGAGCAATGATGTCAGTCTAGATACAAAGGTGCACCTAATGCAGGTCATGGTCTTCTCAATTACTTGTTATGCTTCAGAGAGTTGGACAATGACTAAGGATGACAGAAGAATAGATGCATTCAAATTGTGTTGGAGAAGAGTCTTGAACATACCATGGACTGCCAAGAAAACAAATAGGTCTGTCTTGGAGACGGTAAAACCAAGTTTCTCCTTGGAGAAGGCTAGAGTTTTGAAGTTCCATCTCACATACTTTGGGCATGTGGCCAGGAGAGACCAGTCCTTGGAGAAGGACATCATGCTTGGAAGGGTGGAGGGACAACACAAGAGAGGAAGACCCCAGATGAGATGGATTGATACGGTATCTGGAACAATGGAGGTTGGTGTGTCAGAATTAGTGAAACTGGGTCAGAACAGGGCAGGGTTCAGAACTGCTGTACATAGGGTCACTATGGGTTGCAGGCAACTCAATGAAACATAATAACGACAACAACAACAGTAAGGTGCTATTATTAACCTTCACTTACGTATTAAGGTTTGAGTATTTTCTCCTATCCCTGAGGTGTAGTCCATAGGGAGTTGCACTGCTAACCCACAGGTCATGCCTTTCAAGTGGTTCAAATCCACCAACATGTCAGGGTGAGAAAGATAGACAGTCTCCTCCTATGTGATTTATTGCCTCAGAAATCCACTGGAGGTTCAGCCATGAGTTCGTTCTGACTCAAAGGCACTGAATTTTAAAGACTGTGTTTATATTTATTTATATGGGCTTAAGATAGTGGCAAGAAGCTGAGCTACAATCTCAAAGGCACACAGTTTGAATCCACCAGCTGCTTCTTGGGAGAAGGCTGGGCAGTTTCTTCCCATGCAATGAACTGCCTCTGAAATCCCACCAGAGAGTCAGCTGTTGGTCACTTCTGACTTGATGGCACACAAGATGATATTATATGGTACCAGGAGATCAGGAGATGTATTGCACTGGAAAAGTCAGGAGATCAAGAGATGTACTGCACTAGGACAATCTACAGTAAAGGACCTCTCCAAATTATTAAAAAGCAGTGATGTCAGTTTGAGGACTAAGCTGCACTTTATTCAGGCCATGGTTTTTTCAGTCACTTGCTATGCATCTAAGAGCGGGAGAGTGACTAAGGATGACAGAAGAAGAATTAATGTGTTTGTACTGTGGTGTTGGAGTAGAGCACTGAACATCTCATGGATCACGAGAAGAACATACAAATATGTCTTGGAGAAAGTGCAGCCAGAGTGCTCTTGGAGGCAAAGATGATAAAACTTCACTTCACATACTTTGGGGAATTGGAGAAGGACATCATGCTTGGGAAGGTGAAAGAGAGGAAGACCAGGTCGACTGACTTAGTGACTGCAGAAATGGGCTTGAGGGTGTTGGAGACTGTGAGGATGGCACAGGATAAGACACAGTTCAGATCTGTTGCTCATAAGGTTGCTATGAGTCATAGTCTATGGCACCTAACAACAAGGTATTGGCTGCTCTGGTGGCCTAGTAGATAAGGAGTTGTACTGCCAACCCAAAGGCAAGTGAATCAAATCCACCAGCTGACCCAAGGGAGAAAGATGGGCTGTCTCCTCCCATGTGATTTACATCCTCTGAAAATTCACTGGCGGATCAGCTATGAGCCAGTTCCAACTACACAGCACACAGCAACAGTTTCTGGCTATCTGTGGTATGCTGTGGTACGTGTTACATGGATAGACTATAGGAGTCCATATGTAAATTTGCCCAGAGTAAGGCAGTTGGAAGTGACAAAGGCTTTCGTTAAAGAGGCACAATGAAAACAAATTGAGATATGGTGGAACCTGGTCTAGTGAGGGAGTTTCGGCAGTGGGGCTTAGCTGATAGCTAGACCACTGACTGCTGTGGGTACTGTTGCCTTGCTGGAAAAGCACCCCAGTAAGATGATCAGATCTTTCCAGAGAAACTCCAAATCCCGATCTCTGTGTGAACTCTGCCCCCCTCACTCACCTGATTTCATTCTATCTTCCCAGGCCCTCGAGACACCCTGGACTTCCCTCGCCTGCCTGACCCCCAGACCTTGTTCCCAACCCGACGCCGACCTCCAGACTTCCCTGGCCGCCCTACCACCCTCATGTTTGCCCCACGCCCCCGGCCGGCAGCCAGCCGCCCCCGCCTGGACCCCTGGAAACTGGTCTCCTTTGGCCGGACACTCAGCATCTCACCTCCCAGCAGGCCAGGCACCCCAGAGAGCCCCGGGCCCCCCAGCGTGCAGCCCACGCTGCTCGACATGGATATGGAGGGGCAGAGCCAGGACTGCACCGTGCCGCTGTGTGGGGCTCACAGCGCCCGCTGACGCCTGCCCACCACCCCGCCTGGGCAGCCATGAATGTAGTGCCCCAGGCCCACCCAGCCCACTGTGCCACTAGGTGGGGGTGGCCCCAGGCAGGATACACTATTTATTGGGGAAGGGAAGAAGGGGACCACTTAATTTATTCCTTTGTACCTGCAGCAAGGGGGGTGGAGTGGGCAGGGCTACTCAGGGACAGGGCATCATGGGAATTTGGCACAAAATGCAGCATTAAAGGTGACCCCTGCCCCCTATGGCATTGGCTATGTGTCATTCCCAATGGGCATCCCCAAGCCCACTCACCTCCCAAAGTCCTGAGGTCCCCTCTCTGATCCCCAAAGAACAACACACAGAAAAGGTTATGGTCACCAGTGACAAGTGCTTTACCATGGAACATGTGAGTCAGGGGCAGTGACACCATAAGGTGGGCGTGCAGTGGGGGTGGAGACCATTCCTGTGGGATGGCCCTCAATAGTCACATCCCAGTCCCGCTGTCTTCCCGCTGGAGGCTGCACCGATTGATCTTCAGCTGTGTCAGCTGGATGTAACGGAGGACATTAGTATCTGCAGGAGAGGTTAACATTTTGGCAGGTGTCCTGGGCTAGAAGGTAACATCCGGTCTACCTGGGCTCACACCCATTGTCCCCAATGTCCATTCACTCCCCAGAGCCTTCCACCCGTCTGATGGACAATCTCTTGCCCCTTCCTCTATGCACCACACCTCACGCAGCTGTTGGTGCCAGAGCCCATTCCCCAAAGCCCGAGCCACACTTCCAGGCCTCTGCCCTCTCCCGGAGTCCTTTTCTGTCTCTTGTCATATGTCCACTTGCCCTCCAAAGCTATGAGCAAGAGCCTGATCTCCTTAAATTACTAAACAGAAAAACAAATCCTGCCTTTGTGCTCCTACAAACACTCAGTGGTGTGCTTTTCTGCCTACCCATACACACACTTACACCACACACAACAGCACCACACTATATACACCATATACACTACACACAGACACATACCACACACTACACATACATTGTGTGATCACTTCTGTGATCTTCCATTCCCTCCCTGCAGTTGGCCTCCAGCAGGTGTTCATTGTCATGGTCAGGTAAACAACTATGTCAGGGAGTTGTGGGAAAGAGGGATGTGGCACAGTGAATGGAGATGGAGGGACAGGTAAATGCTGAGTAGGTGAGAGGTAGGCATATTGGTCAGGCTGATTGGTGAAAGTGATGTCCTGGGTTAGGAGAATGCAGGTAGTTGTGTGGACAGGAGAAAGGTTGGAGGGAGGAATAGATCAATGAATGGTGGGGAGGGAGTAGGAAGCTGCAGAGGGAAAGTTAGGTGGGTGGCACAGCACTTTCTAGAAGCAATTCTGAGTCAGGAGGTTCTGCTTGCCTGTTCTGATCCACCCTTAGGTATTTTATTAAGCACCTACTCTCAGACACTGTGTTGTATGTCTGAGATACGTTGCAATGAACTCATTTAACCCTCACCTATGTAGTAAGCATTATCCACCCTCTGCAGGAGCGTCCTTGCCCTTAACTTCTCTGCTCTGGCTCCTTTCCCCTGAATCCATCCTCACCTTCCCTCTCACCTGTGGGCTCCCGGCTGTGGGCCTCCTGCAGGTAGCGCAACGCGCGTGGGTAGTCGCCTAGGTGGTAGAAGGCAATGCCAGCGCGGTAGGTGGCCTTGAAGTTGCCCTGCTGTTTCTCCAGCACCTTGAGACAGTATTCGCGCACGCGCTCATAGTTCACCAGCTCTGACTGCAGCAGGCAAGCTGCGGGGACACGAGCAGAGCCGGGCTCTCTTTGCAGCAGACTCCCCCTCCCCATCTCTTCCTCCGAACTAAGCCCCACCCAAGGATTGTTCGACCAGCAGGGGGTGCCAGCCTGCTACCAAGCAAAGTATAATCCATCTGCGCTACCGCCAGAGGACGCCAAAGGCATTGCTGGACGTGTTCAGGCCACTAGCTGGGTGGTTTGGGTGCTGCAAGTATTAAGTGCGGAGATAAGGGAACCCCATCTCCAGCGCAAACATTTCTAACCTTTGATTCGCAAGTGGCAAGAGAGGAAAGAGTGGCTTAGGGGGTGTGAGCTATGAAGCCCCCTCCCCAAGCCCTCTCCTTGATCAGATCCTGGGGTCTCCCTTCAACAGACCCCCAACTCTGGCCCCTTCAAGCCTCCAGACCCCTCCACACATGCCCCTCTCTGCCCCCCGACGGCCCCGTACCCGTGAGAGAGTCATAACACTCCACCTCCGTGTTCTCTACCAGACGCCGCTGCTCCTCGCTAAGGCGGGCGGGCCCCGGGTTGGCGGCAGGCCCGGGGGCGGGGGTAGGCAGGCCGCCAGGGCGGGCCCCCTGCGCCGCTTTCAGCTGCAGCAGTGCCCGGTGGTACTTGCCGATGGCCTCCCGGAACTTCTTCTCGCGGTAACAGCGTTGGCCCTCCGCCTTAAACGCCACGGCGGCCCGCAGGCTGCTGTCGAGCGCCGCGGCCAAGCCCCCCGACGGTTCTGGGGCAGCAGCGGGCCGAACCGAGCCATGACGGGGGCCCGGGCCAGGAGGCGAGAGGGCAGGCGGTGGGCGCGGCGGAGGCTCCGGGGCAGCGCTGAGCATCAGCACCGGGGACAGCGCGCCGCGCTGCATTGTGGGAAACTCCTGCAGCCGCTGCAGCTACCGCATCGCCCCTCGCGGGGCCGGTCCCCACCCTTTCTCCGCCCCCGCACCTTCGGCAGCTGACTCCGTCTGCCACCTAGGGGTCTAGAGAAACCCCTCACTTTTACCTTTAAATCAGACCCAGTCCTGGTCTTGCAGACTCCCCTTCTTCCCTCCACACTTGCCTGCCCGCTCGCCTCCCCCATACCCAAATCCAAGGCTTTCTAGAAGGAGAGGCGAAGTCTGGGGAGAAGAGGAGGAAAATTATCAACCTCGTGGAAAGCTGGTTTCAATCCACTACCCATTTGGTATGTTGGATAAGAATACAGGATATGAACTCAATGTGTCAGATCTCCAATCCCAGCTTATTTCTCAGTAGTTGAATGAGTTGGACAAATCAAAGTAACCTAAAACTCTGTCTTTTCCTTTCTACCATGGGTTAATATCAATTTTGGAGGCCATTCAATTTTTATGGAACAAATATCCTCAGATGACTTTTCTTCACCCAGCTCTATGCTGAGTGGGACAGAGAGTGAGAGCCCTGGGCCCTTCCACCACTGGACTCCCAGCAGTGGAGACTAGTCAGTCACCAGGAAGTGACATTGCAGAGTGGTCAAGTCGGTGGGGGGAAAGCCACGCGTTTGCCCTTCAAGAGGAAAAGCTGCCTGGAAGGGATACCCTTACATAAAACAAAAAGGTTTGCCTTTAGTGAATTCACTGGCACAAGTCACCAGGCCATGGCAACCCAAAGTGAGCTGCAGAATAGGTCTACATGGAAGAAAACATGGGGGGCTTTCTAGAGGAAAACTGAGGGGGAGTCAGGTCGTTGCTTCCTCAGCTTGGGGCTTTGGCCCAGCTCCTTGATCTTGATTTCCTCCATCTTGATTTCCTGCCGTGTATAACGGGATAGCAAGGGCTGCAAGGACTAAATTATACAGTGCAGGTAAGGCATATATAACAGAGGCTTGGGCAGGAATAAGCAATTAGCAATTCTTTTCTCCCATTAGATTGTGCAGTGCATGTGCAGTGCATACATGCCTAGCACCCACAAAACTGCTGAAGGAATGACTAGGTAAGTTGCAGGTGGTCATATTTGACCAATGAGGATAGAAGTCCTAGAGACCTCAGGGTAGGTCCTACCCAGCACATGCAGACTTGCCTAAACTCACATGCTCATTTGCAGCATCTGTGCCATCTCTCATAGTTTGCTGAGATGCTTTTGCTTAGTCTCTTACCATTGATCCTCCAACCTTAAGCTCCTCAGGAGTGGAAGCCCCCTTCTTCCTGCAGCTTTAAACCCAGGCTTAGTTAAGAGTCTCGCTTTCCTCAGTTGGCATTCCAGAGCAGTGGGGTCTTCTCTCTGCCCCTTGTCTTGTTTTGATTCTGATTTGAGTGAAAGTTCACAGAGCAATTAGGATTTCCATTCATCCATTCATTCATGTTTTGTTTAATGACATTAATTACAACCATCACGTAAGGTGAAGGGAGCTCTGGAGGCCTGGTGGGTAAAGAGTTCTTCTCCCAAGCCAAAAGATGGTTTGAATCCACCAGTTGTTCCAAGAAAGCAAAGACAGACATTCTCCTCTTGTGCAACTTCCAGCCTCTGAAAACACACTAGAGGGTCAGCTAGGAGCTAGTTCCAGCACATTAACAATACAAGCACACTCTACCTTCTCTCTGTATTTTAAATTTTTCCAAATGAAGAGTAAAAATCCAGATGCAAAGGTCATTGAAGTAGTACATGTTTAGTTATCTATATATTTTCCATTTTTTAAAGTGTCTTTATAAAAAGTAAATATCCATTGATTCATACTCTTTCCTGTGCATCTGAAAAGCAGAAAATGAGACAACTGCGTCTCCCAGTCCTGTTCTGAGGAAATGCTAGCACTTTAATGACATCTGAAGTGTGTTTCAGGCACTGTCTTAAACTCTTGCCATAGGTATTAACACACATCGTCAACACACCAGGTGATAGTGGCACTGTAATCATCCTCACTGAAATCTAGGCATTTCAGAGGTTCTATAAATCAGGTTCTAGTTGTTAAATTCTTGCTATCAAAGATAGCCTTTGTGGCGAGCATATGTGACCATAACAAAATCTTGAGTGGACCAATATATAAAACCAGAGATTTTCTGGAACACCAAATTTTCCGCTTCAATTAAATAAAATCTGAAAAAAAGTTTCTACATAAAAGTAGCATTCTTATTTCCCCACAGTGATTTCCCACCCCGCTAGCAGTGTCTCTTTTATTAGCCCCCCCCCCCCATTCTTTTAAGCAAGTACTTGTAATCTCCATTTTAGGCAGCCGACACCGACCCCTCGCGGAGGAGATCAGAATTAGAATATCTTCTTCAGGAAGGGGCTTGGTAAAAGCAGCTCATCAATGGGATGCGAGACCCTAGAAAGTGGCCAATTACACGCGAAAGAGCGGGGCATTAGCTCAATGAGGACAAAGAGCGCTAAGAATTTTTTAAAAATAAATTCTTTAATAAAATAAAAACGAACACACAAAGAAAAATGTTTTCAACCGGGTTTCGTGACTCCAGGAGGCCTGTGTTGGGGGCGACGGAGCAGGTGGGCGGCGGCGAGGCTGATTCTCTGACGCTGGGGCCGCGCGTACTTGACGAAGATGGCTGCGCGGCCTGGTGCGGGGCCCCGGAGCGCGGCAAGGACCATGCAGGGCTCCAAAGGGCCCAACTCCGCCGGGCTGTGCCAGAGATGAAAGACTGGGGATGGGACGGGGTGGCTCTAGGGTTTTAGAGATCAGAGTTGACCATCCTCAATTAGAAAGTGAAGGTGGCGGGTGGGGGAAAGAGCGGGCAAAGGTAGTTTTCCATTGGGGACAGCAAGGGGAAGCCAGGATCTCAGGAACCTTCCGGGACATGGGCTAGGAGAAAACAAGACCCACCCCATTCCCGGCCAGCTGTGGGAGCTAGGGGACTCAATGCCTGTGGGACCCTTCATTCTCAAGTCTGGAGCACAGGGCATCTTCCAGACCTGGGAAAGTGTCGCCAAATCAGGATAGATATCCCAAAGGAGAAAATAACAGGATCGCCAGTCTGGGCAGACACCTAATTCTCTCCCACGCCCAGGAAAACATCTAAGCCTGTTGCCCAACTGTTGTTACTCCTTCCCTAAAGTGATAAAAGACAGAAATCGTGAAGGGATGTCTCTGAAGGTGATGAGATCCCATCTCACCTCGCCCCTGCCTGGCTCGGCCCCTCCCTCCTCATGGGCTGTACCTGTAAAGCGCCGGCTCGGGCCGAGTCCCGTTCAGCACCCGGTGCGCCAGGTTCAGCGCGGCAGCTGCGCGACGACTTATCTCCCATTCCGCAGCCTCAGCTTCCAGAAGGGACAGCTCCAGGAAATAGGTGGCCAGCAGCATCACCTGCTGGCCGCGACAACGTGTGGCTCCGCCCACCCCTGCAATCCCCGCCCACCCAGCGGAAGGCCAGCCCCGCACCTGCGGGGGACTCCGGGCGAGCGCGGCGAGCAGTCCGAGACACAGCAGCGGGCCCGGGTGGTGCAACCGGAAGTCCAGGCGGCTCAGGAGGCGGCGCTCTGCGCGCAGCAGCTCCGACCGCGAGAAGGAGCCCGCCCCCAGGAGGCAGAGGGAGGAAGGCTGCAAAGGGGTTGAGGAAAAGGGAGGGTCGCGGGGATCCTACCCTAGGGCGACCCTCCCATAACTTTCTACTCCTGCTCTAAAGTACCTCAGTTTCCCAATCTGGACCTCAATTTCTTGGTGTGTAAAACGGGACACTGATTTTTGTGTCTGGATGTGGTGGTGGAGGGAACAGGCTTCAGAGCCAGAAAAGACCTAGGCATGAATTCAAATTTTACTATTTATTCACTGTGCGACTGTTCACTTAAGCTCTTTGAGCGTCGGTTTCCTCAATAGAAAAACGGGGTTACTACTCTCTACCTGTGGGGAGAAGTCACGGTGTTCACCTGCATTGACTATAACTACTCCAGATGGACTATATATACTCTTTCAAGACTTAAAGGCAAGCCTCAATTGCTTGATTTTGAGCCTCTGCCTGGGCTTCAGTCACGTCTTTTTTTTTTTTTTTTTAATTATTTTTCTTGCTGTGTACCGTCAAATTGGATCCGACTGGCACAGGAGATAGGCCCTCCTTCTCCAGCAGAGCACCTGGTGAGTTCGAACCGTGTGCCTTCAGGATTGCTGTGCAGCTTCTTTGCCACTAGTCCACCAGAGCTCACTCTCAGTCACTTCTTAAAGAGACACTTTGGCAGTTCCAAACTAAAACATTCCTCTCCATTAGCCCCACCCAAAAGTACCTCCGGAAGCACGCACTCTTCCACCTTGCAAGCCACGAACAGGCAGGCTACGCCCAAGAGTTGCAGCCGCTGTAGACGCACGGGGCCCAAGCGCAGGTAAGAGTCAAGCAAATGTACGGCCAGGTACAGGGTGTCCTCCGCCAAGCCCAGGTACTCCTGAGAAAGGACCAAGTGACTGCAGGGGCCCCAGGCGGCGACGTGGGCCCAACCCGCGCTCTCTTCCGTACGTACGTGCACCTGGACCAGCCAGTCCACCACGAGCACACGCATCTCCGAGATCTTGGAGCGGGGCACAGCCTTCCTGGGCAATATACGGCACACCTGGGGTTGGACAAGGGAGGGCTGGCCTCACTCTCCTCTCCACACCTGGACCTCTCTCGTAAACTCCAAGATTCCTTAGGCAGTTAACTGGCCTTCACATTTACTTCTGTTCCCTGTGTCAGCATAAAACTCAGGGTGATGCCCTGGACGCCCCCTGCTCACCTCTCAGGTCTGCAGCATCTATGGCCACCGACTTCCTGAGCACTCTTCCCAGACAGCACTCTTCGCCATCAACCCTCAACTACCTGTTTCAGAACTCCAAAGGAGGGTCTCTCTAAAGGATTGACCCAGATGTCAAGTCCCCATCTTAAAAGCCTCTCACAAAAGAATGGGACCAGGTGATGGCTACTTAATATAGTCAATGTGATTAATGTCATTAAACTGTACATATAAAATCATAGGCATGCCCAATGGCCTTTGATAACAATGTGTTGTGACACATCTTAGTTATCACAGAGCTGATTCTAACGTTTTAGGGGCCCCCTACTCCAATAAAAGGGTCCTCTGGCAGCCTAGTGGGTAGAGAGTTACGCTGCCAACTTAAAGGCAGGTAGTTCGAATCCATCCACTCCGTGACAGAAAGCTTTACAGCCTCTGAAAAAGTGATGCGAGGTTCCAAGTCCACTGCACATACCATTCCAAGGAAATTAGAATAAGCTTACTTCTTTTAGGATAAAGTCCTAATTTCTTTCCGTTTCTCTCAGGTTCTACCCTCAACTCAAACATCACTTCCTCCCTCTCCCCTATCAAAGCCACCAAAAACCCTAAACCCCAACCAGTGCCATTGAGTTTATTCTGAGTTATGGTGGCCCTCCATTGGATTTCAAAGCGCGTGAACCTCCAGCTGGTTTTCAAACATGATTCACATTCATTCAAATGTTAAACGAAAAGAGGTTAAATGTAAAGAGGTGGTGAGGGGCTGAGTAAGAAAGGGTCCTGGAGCGATGGAAATTTAAAGAAGAGACAAGCCAGGGTTTGGGATGAGGCGGGCTGTGTAGCCAAAGAGGAGGGAGATGAGAGCCTGGTCATGCTTACTGGTGGATGGGCCAGCGTCCCCGCATCTAACTCTGATCCTACTTACTGGGGGATGGGCCAGCTTCCCCGCATTTAACCCTGATCCTACTTACTGGGGGATGGGCTAGCTTTCCCCCTTCGATCCCTCACCCACTACTGGTCCAAGGGACCTCGGCCCCGACCTGCTCACCATGACCTCGGCGAAGATGTCTCCCGCGTATTCGCACACTCCCTCCAGACCCAGCACACGCAGCGCCTCCTCCAACCCTGGGAACCTCTCCTGGCGTCCAAGGGACAGACGCGCGCCCACAGAGACGCCTTCAGTGGGTCGGGCTCCTGGAGGCCTCTGCAACAGAAAGGGCCCTGGGGTCAGTGTCCGGGGACGGAGAGCAGCTGGGAGGCGGGCCCTGGCTCCTGCTTCTCACCAGCATCTTCCGATGTTGGCCGTCTCTTCCCGCTGGAGCAAGACGCCCGCGACGGGCGCTTTAAATGTACCTGGACGCATGCGCGCTGAGCACCCCTTACCTAGACAGGTGTATATGCAAAAATGATTACCACAAGCTCCGTCCTCGTATCCTGATTGGCCAGCACTGTCAGCTATCATCAGGCTTGAAGTAAAATCCTAGGCTTGTTACTGGACTGAAAACAGCCCCTCTGAGCCTCTTTTCTCCTGTAAATTGTTAAGTGCCCTCAAGCCAGCTATGACATATAGCGACCCTACGAACAATGGATTTTGTGCCATCATTATTAGCTCTGACATATTTGAGCCTATCATTCTCTGTACTAATCCATCTTGAGAGTTTTTCCCCTTCGCAGCCCTGTCCAAGAATGATGTCCTTTCCCAAGGACTGGCCCTTCCTAACGACACGCTCGAAATAGAATATTAAAAAACAACAAACCACACCAACAAAAAACACAAAATAACAACACCCAGTCAACAGAATTGGGATAACCTTGAGGCCATTTTTAAGAGTCTAACACAAAGTTTGAAGGAGTCAAGGCTCAAAATCAAGGGAACTAGAACTCTTGGCAAAAATATATGCCCTGTATTTCATGCAAAGGAGCTCAGGTGGTGCTCGTGCTGGGCTACAGTGAGGTTGGCATCTCATCTTCCTCGAAGTCAAGACCAAAGTTCTCACAGTGACTTAGGAGACTCAACCAACCACTTCCTCACATCTGAGTTCATCTTCCCTTTTCACTTCATGGCCAGACCTCGGGCGTTTGCACTGGCTGTACTCTGCCTGATATGCTTTGCTCTACCCCCTTCCTGTAGGTATTTATGAGCTATTACTCTCTGTGTGAAAACGGCAATCTTTGGCACTCCCTGACGGACCCCTTTCTCTGCACTTAACTCTCTTTTGCACTTTACATGGGGCTCTGGTGGTAAAGTGGTTAAAGCATCCTGCTACTAATGGAAAGACTGGCAGTTCAAACTCACTAACTACTCTGAAAGAGTAAGCTGTGGCAGTCAGCTCCCATAAAAACTACGCTTCACAAACCATACAGACTATACTATCCTGTCCTTCTTGCTAGTCAGAATCAATGTGACAGCAAGGAGTTGGGTTTTTGCCTTTAGCACCTAATGGCTTCTAATAAATTCTGTAACTGGAAGGCAGTGGTTCAAATTCACCATCCACTCATCGTAAGAATGACGAGGTAGTGACCTCCTCTTATAAAGATGTACAACCTCAGAAACCCTATGGAGCCATGACTTGGAATCCACTTGATGACAGTAGCATTTTTTTCCTTCTTCCTCTAAAATACAAACCCCATAAAAGTAGACTTTCATTTTCTTCCCCCTCCCTTCTACTGCTGCATTTGTTCCTTCCAGAATGAGACTTAGGGATAGCCTGGTGCTAACAAGTAGCACTAAAGTTCCAATCTACCAGTGGCTCCATGAGAGGAGGATGGACAATCTCCTTCCATGGGATTGACTTGCTTTGAAAAACCACTGGAGGGTTCAGCTGTGGGTCGGTTCTGACTCAATGAAAACAACAGAATGGCACACTGGTGATCAGGAAGTATTGGTAGATCAGAAGGCTGAGAAAACAACTCTGCACCTCCTCCCACCCACTTTAACTACTGGGAGAAGAGGATGCCCCGGGTACCTGCCACTATCTCAGAGGTGGTCTATATATTCCTGCATTATACCAGAGATATTTGTCTGATGGGCCCCCATGTGGACTATGCTTCAATATATGGATCATATAAAAGTCCATCAGAACCTATATGGCAGGTACGTGGGGAGTTGATTAAATTCTTCTGCTTTTGTGAGGGCTGAAATAGTGCCATAAGAAGCTTTTAAGTTTTCATTTGAATTATGAAACCAACCAATTTTTCAAACACAAGATCACAGGTGGTGGTAGTGTGGGGAGGCAAAGAACCCATTCATCATTTTGTAGTTATTCACACCCTCAACTAAAGACATGAATCATACACAATTACTGAACAAGTTTATTGTTGTTGTTATATGTCATCAAATCAACTGTGATTCACAGCGACCCTATGAACAACTGCCCCATCCTGAGCCAACCTCAGTCCGACACACCTGAACCCACTGCCAGTCAGCGTCAACTCCTTTCATCCAGCGTCGTCTTCTCCCGTGCTAACCCTCTCCCCTTCCAAGCATGATGTCCTCCAAAGACTGCTAACATGCCCCAAGTATGTGAGAGACCTTCAAATCCCTTGCCTCCAAGGAGCACCTGGTTTCACCCTCTCTAGGGCAGACCTTTATCTCTTGACACACAGCACAACTTAAAAGGCACTGATTCTTAAAAGGCATTGATTCTTCTGGCATTCTTGATGGTCCAGCTCTCAAATGCATAGGAAGCTAGTAGGATTTGTGTGTATGTGTGTGTCATGGTCTAAGTTAACAGTTTTGCAACTATTTTAGCTGGACTCAAGAGCTCTGATGGCACAGTGGGCTAAATGTTGGGCTGCTGTGTTGAACTGTGTGCCTTTGGTGCCGCTTCTTTTATGGGGTGTGAAATGAACAGCCACTCTGTGGGAGAAAGTGCTCCGATTCAAAACCCCACCTCTGAAGTCCTTGAGACAGTTCTACTCTGTCCTACAGACCTGTTATGAGTCAGAAATGACTCAAAAGCTGAGGGGTGACTGGGCTTATTTTTTTGCTGTTAAGCTGTATTTTAGGATTAAGTGAATACTGCATTCTGTCACTGGAGTTGGTCTTTATTCTGTCAGAGAATGGATGTAAAAATATGGAAAAGAGGCTGGAATGACTAAACTCTGTGGTGTTGCAACGGGACTGGAACTAAACGTTCATGAATACAGGGTTAATACAGAAAAACAACTGTCTTCTACTGGGAGATAACATTTGAGCAAAGATCTGGACGAACCATTCTTCCCTGGAGGGAAGAGCATTCCAGGCACATGGGCATGTATTTCCTGCAGTCCCTTCAGAGGGTTTAAGAGCAGTGACACCCTAATACAAAGACACCTAGTGCCCACACCTCGGCTTCTATTTTAATCCAAAGGAATCATACTTGGGAAATACAGAAATAGCTGCTTCCAGGAACAGCGCACAGAAAGTAACAGATTAATCTGGAACGTCTTTTTTGTGGCAAAGTGATTGTTCTAGTAATAGGAAAGGTTAGATGGCTAACCACCATAGTCATTAGCTTAAGCTAGGGCAATTCAAGGGTAGCTAAGTGATAAGGAGGTTCACCACCAATCCAAAGGCACGCGGTTTGAATCTACCAGTTAGTTGCTTCAAGGGAGAAAGATGGGAAGTGTCCTCCTGTGTGATTTACTTTTGAGTAGGTTCTGACTTGGCAACAAATAAGACAATTTTAGCAAAAATACAGAAATAATAAATCCTGCATAAAATTAGAATGTAAGCCCATTCTGATATGGGAAGGGAGGAGAGTTACCTTAGAATGTGAACTCATAGATGCAGATCATTTGCTGCTAAATGCCATCAAGTGGGGCACCTGAGCCATTGTATGATGACTGACCAACAGAACAAAATGCTATTCAATCCTGTGTCATTCCATCACCTGTTGTAATTGATCGTGCACCATGTCATGGGCTCATTTTTGGAAGATCACCAGGCTATTCTTCCAAGTCTGTCTTGGTCTGGAATGTAGTCTATAATGCTGTTTAGTATCCTAAGAACATGCAAACCTTCAGAGATGGACATGAGACACACCTGATGGGAAATGAGTTCAGGTCTACCAAATGGAAACCACGTGTGTGAGCCACTACCTTTAATCAATCTCTTTCCTTCTGCCTGGCCTAGTGGTTAAGAAGCTGCATTGCTACCCCATAGACATAGTTCAAATCCACCAGCTGCTCCATGGGAGAAGATTGGGCAATCTGCAATGCAATTAAAACTGCCTCTGAAAATCTGCTGTAGGGTCAGCTCTGAATTGGTTCTGACTCAACGAAACCTACCACCTCCATCACATACATAAAAGAGCCTGAGTAGTTCCACTTCTCTAGGTAACCCAGCCTGAGACAATTCCAAAGTTTATATGTAATGCTTCCAACTCCCAAAGTTTGGATTTGTAAGTTAAAGATAATAAAAGACAATAAATAATAGAAAGGGGGGAAAGATCTGATTCACATTAGATCTTACTTACAATGGAGTCACTGGGATAGAACCTTTCCAAGTCAGGACTACCTTATATTTACAGTCTCACAGTATCTCCACAAGCTATCTAGCTAAAAAGGGTAAGTCACTTTACAATGCAGAGTCCTGCTAGTTACCTACTTAAAACATGAGATCAAAGTCAACATCATGACGAATGTGCCAAATCTATCATCATGGGCCTCTTGAGGTGATACACTCATCACGTTGAGAATTGCTGCCAAAATGCCTACCTTGAACTTAATCTTGGGTAAGCCTCAGGCAACAAAACCCAGGTAGAGGAACTGTCTCCCACATGTATCTCAATTCTGGCACTGCACACAAGGCGTGGAGTGTGGAAAGGGGAGAGAACTGTGGACTACATTTTAGATAATGTTCCTGTATAACATTCTAAAAATTGCATGTGTATGCCAGAATTCTTTGTACTTAAAAAACCCCCAAACTTCTTCCTTTTAGAACATTTACAGAAAACTTGCAAAGATAATTCCCTTATACCATACTCCCAGTATAAGCTATTTCTGGCATTTCTTATAGCATGGCCATTTTATTGTTACACATCTGAGAGCTAGACAATGACTAGCGATGACAGTACAATCTCTGAGCTGAAGTACTGGAGTACTGAATAGGCCACAGACTACCAAAAGAACAGTCTTGGAAAAAAGCATAGCCAGAGTGTTCCTTGGAGGTAAAGATGACAAAGCTTGTTATCATGCTTGGAAAGTTGGATGAGCAGCAAAAGAGAGAAAGACTCAACCAGATGGGTTGACACAGTGCCTGCGGCAATGGTTGATCTGGTATGTCAGAAATGATGAAGATAGTATA